GTCTTGTGCCAAGTTTTCTTCCAGTCTGGCCTACATAGTACTTCTCACAGTTCTTGCAGGAAATTTTGTAAACCACACCCGATGTTTCTTTCTTAGACAGTCTGTCCTTCACCTTAAAAAGTTTATTTCGTATGGTTTCCGTTGCTTCGTGTGCAACAGTTATCCCATGAGGCATTAGAAGCCTCGCTGCCATTTCAGAAATCCCATGGATGTAAGGTAGGGTAATCGTTCTTCTTTCTGTTGCACATGTGGACGCGGGTGGTGACTGGCTCTTCGACATCAGGCAGCGTAGAATAAAGCTTCTAGGGTAAGAATTTCGATGAAACATGTTAAATAGGCGGTCCTCCTCCGCCTTCCTCAGTTGCGGCGTGCTACAATGTGTCTGGGCCCGTTTGAAAAGCGTCCTCACGCAACTTCGCTTGTATGTGGTCGGATGGTTACTGCGATAGTTTAAGATCTGATCGGTGTGGGTCGCTTTCCGATAAACGGTTGTTTCCAGTGACCCAGAAGCATGTCTTCTCACGAGCACGTTCAAGAATGGCAACTGATCATTGTTCTCTTCCTCTTTGTTGAAATGGATGCCGGAAAAAATATTGTTGATTAGTTGATGTGATTCTTGTAGTCTAGAGCGTTTGAGGATGACAAAAGTATCATCTACGTAACTTACCCAAAATTTGGGCTCCACTATTGGCATTGCCTTCTCTTCCAAGCTTTGCATCACTGCTTCTGCTACCGGTCCAGAGATTGGCGATCCCATTGGCGTACCCATTATCTGTTTGTACATTTGACCGTTGAAAGTGAAATGTGTGGTGAGACAGAAATCAGGCACCAGATCGACAAGGAGAAGAGGTGCCCACATGACGGACACGTGAACCGATCGAAGACTGACATTCGAAGCAGGCAACAATCAATAGTCATTCAGATCTGGCATTGGTTTGCGAGACTCCGCAAATCAGCACCAAATAGCAGCACTGAAGATGTTACCTAGTTTGGTAACGAAACGTCTGCAACAGAAATGCCCAGCTCGGAGAACAGGACAATCCTTTCATCCATATCCCGAGCTACAGGTATTCTCAATAATCATGTTACGTATTCTGCTTACCAGTCCAGACACACCGCGTTAAGTGCAGACATCACAGCTACACACGAACACACGGACACCATTGCCTGTTTTCCATCGCTTCATTACTATAGGTATCAGCCTTAGGTAGACAGTTGGTTGAAGTACCTTAGGTTAATTGGCATACTGTTGTTCTCTACTTATGTATGTAACACACATCAATAAACATTCACCCAGTCACTACGATGCCTTCTCTTCAATTATCGGGGTTGGTGCTCGCCGGTAGCCAAACGGACACTGCAAATTCATTAGCATGAAACAATCATCCCCGCTAAATATCCATGGATGTTGTGAAAACATGCGACATTCTGTCTGCATTTTGCCTCATTTTCCTCATCTCCTCCAAGCATTGTTGTCTTGGAGAGATGCTTCTTGACGAATCCATCTACCACATTTAGACGACCGGATCACAGTGTTACTGTACTGAGCTCAATTGATTGAACTTAATGTCCTCCAGATGGGTGATGTCTCGATGTGAGCGGTTCTCTCCTGGTGATCACATGGTGTGCGTTAAACTTCGCTGCTGAATGTGCGCTATGGTGAAACTTTTTCGTTATCTCGCAAAATGTTTGTCTCCGTGTGCAGAGCAACATTGGCCATATTGGACGCAATCGTTGAAAGGGTGGCTTCTCTTACGATACCGCCTCATCGATTACTCGCTCCACCTAATCACGGTGTATGCAATATAAGGGCAGTTGCGTATGGCTAGGTGAATAGCCACGAAACGTTAGCTTCCACTAACTAACTAGTTTGATTGCACCATTTTGAGGAACTTGAAGTTAGTTCGATACTGTAACCTACTTGTAATAACCGATGGATTAGCCAACTGGAAGTTTTCGTTGGCTTCAAAACAGTGAGTTTTGGAAATAACCGTTTTAAAGGTGTTATATATCTGGATTTCATTTTACTCCACCGGATATTTCTGCTTCACAATATAGACAACAGTAAATTAGCTGTGCTGATCATACACCCGGAAAGCATTTAATGAGAATCAGTATGATGTGAACATGGCAAACCGAGCAGTTTATGTGAGATTTGTGACACCATTTACACAGAGTGCCCTGACAGGGAGCTAATAGTGTGAGAAAACGAGCAACCCGGAAGTCACGAGGATTGGAAGACAAATCAAGGCACGTCCATGAACGGTGTGAACGGCGTTGTGAATCTCCACGATTCTGGCCGTGAACTCTGGAATGGAAATCCAAGAATTAGTAGCAATTGTTCAGCATGTCTGTCTCATTTAAGCCTAAACTTTTACTCCCTACCATGTTAATATTATATTGCGGATAAAATTGCTGAGGCTTAACATGTCCCGCAGGATGGTGAGTGAGGGTTTTCAAAAGAAAAGCAAAGACAACCATAAACATAGAACAGCCGAGGACAGTGAACTTGCCGAACAGAATTTTGTCCTAGCAAAACATGTGTGGATTGATGCGGTTTTGCTTTTGTATGTGCGTATAGCTCGTGTGTGTGCCCCATGCTGAGGCTGACGTTGCATTCTTGATGCTTCTTCACCGCAGTTGGGCTAAACCAACTTACACTTAAACTAGGTCTTTTTAAGCTGGATACATTTCATTCCACTTTATTTGGTTTGTTCTGCCTACCTGAATAACGTTCTATTAACTGGCCACGTTGCTTACGCTAATTGCGCCTATCTTTGATAATTTTGTTGCGTTTGTAACATTTGTAAGTAACTTGTGGACATTTCTTGCTTATCGCGGATTCGTTGCTAACCAACTTACTTCATATGGTAATTTAGGGAAGAGTTATGCCACCGTATCTGTGTGCATGATTGGATTTATTTTGTTTCAGCTTGTCGTTTAAAGTCAATGGTTGTTACTTGATATCCCCGATGTGGCTGCGCTTGATGTGCATGTTGACAAGGTGCCTACATGTCTATTACCCACTAGCTCGTTCATACTGGCTCCGGGAGACAGTTGGTCGTTGCTGGAGGGACGAGGTGCACGGTCCTTGTGGTCGTGCTAGGATCGAAGAGTGGTTCCATGCACTCAGTGTGGAGCGGACTACGGTCCAGCCACCGCCTTGTGTGCACTTGATTCCCAAATACAGCGTGCTTGTGTTTGTCTGTGAAGGAGTGTGGGCCGGCTCCGTTAATAAAACGTGGCTCCCATCCACATGCTTCCCGGTCTTATTCCTTTGGGTTTACACTGGATATGGGGTGTGTGTGGCTGGAGCTGTGGGTGGTGCAGCTCAAGCCACCCATGGTCCCTCTGTAGGCGCAGGTGTCCTGTGACTGGCCACAGTGACAGGCAAATCCGAAACCGGATGCCGCCAACCATAGCTCGTGTTTTTAGACGATCACTGTTTCTGCTCCATGTTTCTTTGCTGCACGCACCAGGTGAATGTGATTAGACAGTTGGAAAATTCGGCCGCACCGTCTTATTCAGAGTTGAAGCATGCCAGCGCTCGTCGAGTGCGGCCTGTTGCCAGTAGGTGAGCACAACAAAGACGGGACGAAAAACTCAAGTAAACTCGGATCATCTCACCAACAAAGTGAGCAAACCACGTCTGAAGTGCTGATCGGAATTAGTTTTATTAGGTTATACAGTAACTCCGTAATCATAGATCTTCGTGGGGTTATATTTCTGTCTCACGAATTGAGTGAGCACTGGTAATTCAAACAGCTTTGAAGTAAATGGACGCTTTAAATCGCTTTTCAAACCTTCAGGTTGGGCGCCGATAATGAGTCTCAAAGACCGTGATAATTATACCAGCGGTTATCCACTACGCCCCAGCCATCACTCCAACAGCGCCCATCTGAAGGCGATGAGAACCGTCGTGGAGTGTGGCGTTCGGAGCCAGCAAGACAGAAAATTCCTCCACTTCGTATGCACTTGCGGTAGCTGGACTGATCTGGGTTCATCCCATAGGCAATCGTAACCCAACTTGTGTACGTCACAGTTCGAATATACGACGGGCCCTTCAAAGTCTACCAGTCTCCGTGCCCTATCGGCCGTATTTAAGGCCGTAATATCGAACGTGATAGCCGTCCCATTTACTAGGGCAAAATACTTCATGCAATGAACTAGCCGGTGCCAGCACACTGCATGTAGATACCGCCTGTGCGTATATCCTCTCTAGATGTGATCAAATGGCTCCCACCGAAAGCTCATACACAATTTGCCTAATAAGTCAAATCCTGTATTAATCAGCTGTTGCTCGAACATTGTGATTTCGCTTCAGTCTGTTGTGCTAAACGTGATTTGTCCTCCGGTACCGTGGAACGTCTCCAGAACGGTTCGCATACATAGCAGCACGACCAGTCGACCTCTGCTACGAAAGCATTAATTCTTTTGAAATCATGATATCAACTCAAATGGTAGCAAAAAGTGCAATCGAAATGTTCGGCTCGGCGGCCATCACAACAGCCGAAGTAACGAACTCGGGCTACCAGTGCTTAGAGCAATTTTAAGCAATAGCCCACTATACGTTTAGTACATTCATTTGGTATGCTCCTTGCTGTCGTTCAACTGCTCCATTGAGTCAGACTAACATCCGCTGGTTACGCGTTCCAAGGCTACCATTTCGGCGCATGCTTGCGAAGCCTGCACCCATTTCAATTGCATGCGGACGATGGCGCTAACCCAAGAGGATATGTGGTCACGTGCACACGCTACTACGTGTGCAGACTGCAGTCCTTGAGACACGGTGGGTGGAATCGGTCACTCCGCCCATAGCTTTGGCACTGGCTAGCTCGCCCACGCAAGGGACATCAATTCCAGGCATCAATGGTACCATGGAAAGACACTACGACCGCGCCGATTGACGCTGACGATCAGTGACGTGATCCATGCAATGGTACGCTGTTAGTTGACCTCATTAGCGGACTACCGGAAATAGGTTTCTGACTTAGCCAATAATGCGAACCATCTGTAAGCCGATCGATTCGGCTGGACCAGTCGAAGCAGATACGGTGAGACATAGGACCCATGGGCTTTCGAATAATGCAGATATCCATAAGTAAGTTGGAAAGCGACTTTGCCATTCATGGAGTAGCTAGGTGGTGTATACCCGTGATTGGTTGTTTTGTGGAAAGAGATTGTCATCCACGTAAATTTGTATGCCCAGTTCACTGTATGTCCCAAAAATCTGTACGATGTATACTTATTGGAGCGTTAAGGCTCAAGAGGCCTGGTCTTAAGTTGCATTTGCTGTAACTACGATACCGTCCAAACTCACCATTGACCTCGAGGTGCACAGCTATACTGTGTGGTGTTCTCCGGTGATTGATGATATTATCACTTGGCTAGTCATCTAATCATATTCGGAAATGGAATCGCTTTCAAGGTTTCGGGCTGCAGACACGGCACTTCCCCAACAATTTCGTCTTCATCTGGACTCGAGATAACTGAGACTAAGGAGTTGTAGTGGGCTGGCGCTTTGATCACTAATCACTGAGCTGCGCGAGCAGTGGTTGTCATGGCGAATAGGAAACGTATGGTTTTGGGGAGTTGTAACCTATTTCATATCATGGCTTTTCTCTTGTAAACATTCTCGCATTCATGCCACACAAGAATTGTCGAGATAACAAAGCTAACGTACTTTTTACTTTAAATTTTCCCTCAAAAAATTGTCCAAAGTCTTTATCTTTTCCCACTTTGACTATTTCACGTAGAGCATCCGCAAAAGCCTCTTGGGTAATGTTGACAACCTTTTCTGTTGGGTATCTCAGTTCAGCTCTTGCTTCCATGATATCGCTGAGTGCGGTTGCGTTCGTATCGAACTGGACAACTGTGTCCACATGGGCGAAGTTTACCGCCCTACATGAGGTCCAATTCTCTTTGATTGTGGAGAAACTGATTGCTTTTAAAAGCTGGAAACGGCAGGGAAAATATTTGTCTGATGAGACACATGGAGGAACAATGGATCGATCAGTTTACCTATCATAGCTATCTACGTTCATTGAACATGCATTATAGTTGATGTTTAAGGTACTGATTCTTTATACAGGCTGTATGTGGATAACAATGGTATGCTGCTTTTCTCGTGTCCAATTTGTGTGTCCGAATGCTAATTCGAATACAACAGCTAGATATTGTGGTGCGTAATCGGGTTTTTCACACCATGTGTCAACTGAACAGCCACTTGTATGGCGATACTCATCTTAGTGTCCAGCGCTAGCAGTCGTGACTTTCGGTCAATTTGAGGTCTCTTGTTAATTGCTGAGTAGGCAGGGTGCGTGCCTGTCGTCTGGGACAGAACATGGAAACGCTATCGAACAAACTCGAATGGTGCACGATCGCCAAACCCTACGAACCGATGTTATTTTACGTATGATGAGCTCCTTTTCTCATAAGAATTCCCTTTAGGCTTTGCAAAACAGCGTTTTAAACTGCAATGAGCAAACGAACACGGATTCTTTCAGTAGTAACTCAGAAATCTTTATATAAGTGTCGTAATGTAACCAGATCAATCACATGCAGGGTTGTGCTCAGTGGTGTTGACATCGGGACCATGGCAACCACAGGCTGACAGCTACATCATTTTCCGTCCAAGTTGTCCTCTTGGGCAACAGAAATAATCTGTGGGGGCATTCAACATGAGTCTACTCAATTAATTTGTTCCGTGCGTAGGAGCTGAAGCGTCCCATCTGCACCCCTATGACTTAGTGCGTCTGAGGTCCAATTGGCTGAAGGCGACGGGCTATACACGCACACCTACACACCACAAGTGACTGGCGTACGCAAGGAACAGATTAATTGAGTAGACTCATGTTGAATGACCCCACAGATTATTTCTGTTGCCCAAGAGGACAACTTGGACGGAAAATGGTATAGTTGCTTTCGGTTTCATAAAACTGGTCTAATCGCGAAAGCCTCTGCAAATCGCAAGAGGCATAAATTTACATGACACAACAAGGTTTGAAACGCCATAGTAGGTCGAACTCTGTATTTCCACAGCCGCGTTAAGTGAGTTTTGAGCCCGCTCCAACTCGCATTTTTGTTACCAATCTTGGACTTTCCCCTGCGGATTGAACTACAACGTATTATGCCTTAAGCATACCACAAAAATTAACCAGGATTGCTCGCCGAGCTTGGCAGTTGGGTTGCCCAACAGCCAAGCTCCATGAGCACTTGATAACCGGGGCGTTTAGCCCGGACCCCCCAGTCTTTCAACTCTGTCAACTGTAATTACAAGGCTGATCTTGCATAGTCTGAACAAACCGAATTCAGGCTATCACATCAATTGAATGAGTTGTATATCGCAACTAGGTGCTACTATGACGAAAGATCCGTCGCATCTGTTGTTCACAGGTAATGAGTTTGGCCCTTGGAGTCCTGTTTACACATTATTTCGCGTTTCAGCCTGGAAGCTCGTGCAGTTTCCCATAATTGTGCTTAGCTACATTCTTGCAGTTACTCCAGTAGGTAGCCTTGCTAATGGCAACCCATCTACCGCGTTAGACCCATCTCACGTCCGAGCAGCGACTGCACGCGAAGAACCAATGCTAGAGGTAGCTTGAAGTGGTTCCCCTCTTCACAACGGTCTAAAGAAGACAGCTGACTCAGCGAGCATCGGTCGGAATCACTACAACCGGCGACGAAGCCCGTATTATGTGACAGGTTTACTATCACCAAGTGGCATTTTCTGGATCAACATAACGCTGTGGAACCAACCTATATTTAGCAGTGTTTTGTTGATCCTACTTCATCCACGTTTCGTGTACTTGACGCTAGGAACTCAAGTTCCCGGAAGTTGTGTGAGAGTAACACCTCAGCAAACGCTGCATCAAGTATGGGCAACCAACTTGGAGCGGAAAGTTCATTCGGTGTTTTCCTGGCTGGTGTTCTCAATAATGAGCTATCTCAAGTCCATGAGCCATAGCTATACTCGCACAAGTAACCAATGTTTGGATAAGAATCTGTTAGATAGGCTAGGTTGTATGCTCGTCGGACCCACCACGCATATCGTTCTTCGATGCCATTGTACTAACGTTTTTTAGTTCGCCGTAAGTCGAAAGTTCAGTTGAAACCGACTAGAAATTTGAATAAACTGCTAAAATAAGTTTCTCAATAGAGACGTCAACCCACCATTCCACAAACCATCAGCGACAGGTTCCTGGATGGCAAAGAAAACGCATCCGTGTATGCCTCCTTCCAGAGTTGGCGAATATTGGCCGTCACCACAAATGATGTGGGAGCTGTATAAAAGTCAGATAAAAGTGTGATGAATTAAATTGTTGAGAGCAGCGTGGCAGATCAAAAACGTGCGATATCCATACCTTGAGAGATCAGAAGGTGGCTATCAGTGGTGGGCATTGTGGGAGTTGCAGAACTGAAGAAAGAAACCATTTGCTTTGTACCCTCACTAATTTGGAAGTCACTCCTAGCTGTTGAGGACAGGATCCCTTCCTTAGCAATGACGGTAGAGACAGACGGCGACCTACCGCCTGTCGATATGCCAGAGTCCTCACGAGTGACTGTGTAATCTGTGTAGGATAGAGAGCGCAATGGGTAGGACTGCGGGTGTGTGGGTGCAGTGCTGTTGGTTGTGGTGTGAGAACTGATTGTAGTGTTGCTGTGAAAGTTAGTGGGATTGGTGGGTGTAAATGTGTCAGCGTGAAATGATGCCAGAGTGGATGTATGTGTCGGATTTGTGTCAGTTCGTATGTGTGTGTAAGTGTTGTTGTGCGTGATAGAGTGAGGATGGATGTGTATTGGTGTGTCTGTGGAGGAGTATGTGTGTGTGGTAGTGTCGGATGTTGAGATTGTGAGAGGTGTTGAGGTGGTGTTGAGTATGTGCATTTGGTCGTAGTCGGTGTGCAGTGGGGAGTGTGTGGGTGTTGATGATGTGGTCGCGTCTGTGTAGTTGTATTGTGCCTGGGTGTGCATCTCGTCGGTGTCGGCGTTGGCGCGTGTGTTGGTGTTGGTGTAGGAGTGTGGTGCGTATGTTTGTATTCGCAGTGTTTGTGCCTGATTGTCGGTGGTGTGTGTAGTTGCGTTGGTGAGTTTGGTGTAATCGTGCTGGTGGGTTTGATGTAGTGTGTGAGGTGTTGGTGTGGATGCAGTAGGAGTTGTGTTGATGTTTGCGATGTCGGTTGTATTAGTGTTGTTGATGAAGCTATCGGTGTGGGTGGTTTTATGGGTATTGGCGTGCGCATGGGCAGTGGTACCGGTGGTGTAGGTGTAAGCGTTGACGGTGGTGTTTGTGTTGATGGTCGCGTCGGCGTTTTCGATGCTGGTTTGGTTCGGGTGGTGGAATAATGTGGTAATTGTGGTGGCATTAGTAGTGTCAGTATGTTGTGTGTTAGTGTGGATGCTAACGTGTTTGGTAGACGTGGTGGTTAGCGTGTCAGTAGGTGTGTATGTGTGATTAGATGTGGGCGTGTATGTTCTATTGTTAGTGGGTGTGTGTGCGGTGGTGTCAGTTTGGTGGTGAGTGGGTGTGTATGTAGGCGTGGAGGTTGGTTTATGCATGGGTTTTTGTGTGTTGTAGTATGTTGGTGAAGTCTGTTTGTATGTGGTGTGTATCATGTGTGTGTTGGTAGTAATGGTTGGTGTTTGGTGTGATGTGGTGTTGTGCAGTGGACTGTGTGAGTGTGTAAGTGTCGTAGTATGAGTGGGTGTTGGTGTGGGTGTGTATGTAGGTGTGGATTTTGCTGTGTCTGAGGTGTGCGTTGCGTGCAGATGTGTACTAGACATGCTGTGGGTTTGTTCGTATGTTGTGTGGGCTATGTTTTGTGGCGTTTCGTGTGTTGTATTGTCTGTTGCGACGGCCTTGGTTGTGTTATTGCCGGTGGTGGATGCTGTGATGTAGTGATCAGGCTGGGTGGAAGTTTGATTGTGGTGTTCTGATGTGGGTTGTGTTTCTGTGTTGTTGCCTATAGTGTTTGTGTGCAGGGCGCTGTTGTTTGCGTTTGGTGAATGTGTTGTAGCGGATGTTGTGTTTGCCGAAGTTGTTGTGTTGGTGTAATCTGTGAAGACAACTGGGTGCAATGGGTAGGACTGCGGGTGTGTGGGTGCAGTGCTGTTGGTTGTGGTGTGAGAACTGATTGTAGTGTTGCTGTGAAAGTTAGTGGGATTGGTGGGTGTAAATGTGTCAGTGTGAAATGATGCCAGAGTGGATGTATGTATCGGATTTGTGTCAGTTCGTATGTGTGTGTAAGTGTTGTTGTGCGTGATAGAGTGAGGATGGATGTGTATTGGTGTGTCTGTGGTGGAGTATGCGTGTGTGGTAGTGTCGGATGTTGAAATTGTGAGAGGTGTTGAGGTGGAGTTGAGTATGTGCATTTGGTCGTAGTCGGTGTGCAGTGGGGAGTGTGTGGGTGTTGACGATGTGGTCGCGTCTGTGTAGTTGTACTGTGCCTGTGTGTGCATCTCGTCGGTGTCGGCGTTGGCGCGTGTGTTGGTGTTGGTGTAGGAGTGTGGTGCGTATGTTTGTATTCGCAGTGTTTGTGCCTGATTGTCGGTGGTGTGTGTAGTTGCGTTGGTGAGTTTGGTGTAATCGTGCTGGTGGGTTTGATGTAGTGTGTGAGGTGTTGGTGTGGATGCAGTAGGAGTTGTGTTGATGTTTGCGATGTCGGTTGTATTAGTGTTGTTGATGAAGCTATCGGTGTGGGTGGTTTTATGGGTATTGGCGTGCGCATGGGCAGTGGTACCGGTGGTGTAGGTGTAAGTGTTGACGGTGGTGTTTGTGTTGATGGTCGCGTCGGAGTTTTCGATGCTGGTTTGGTTCGGGTGGTGGAATAATGTGGTAATTGTGGTGGCATTAGTAGTGTCAGTATGTTGTGTGTTAGTGTGGATGCTAACGTGTTTGGTAGACGTGGTGGTTAGCGTGTCAGTAGGTGTGTATGTGTGATTAGATGTGGGCGTGTATGTTCTATTGTTAGTGGGTGTGTGTGCGGTGGTGTCAGTTTGGTGGTGAGTGGGTGTGTATGTAGGCGTGGAGGTTGGTTTATGCATGGGTTTTTGTGTGTTGTAGTATGTTGGTGAAAGTCTGTTTGTATGTGGTGTGTATCATGTGTGTGTTGGTAGTAATGGTTGGTGTTTGGTGTGATGTGGTGTTGTGCAGTGGACTGTGTGAGTGTGTAAGTGTCGTAGTATGAGTGGGTGTTGGTGTGGGTGTGTATGTAGGTGTGGATTTTGCTGTGTCTGAGGTGTGCGTTGCGTGCAGATGTGTACTAGACATGCTGTGGTTTTGTTCGTAAGTTGTGTGGGCTGTGTTTTGTGGCGTTTCGTGTGTTGTATTGTCTGTTGCGACGGCCTTGGTTGTGTTATTGCCGGTGGTGGATGCTGTGATGTAGTGATCAGGCTGGGTGGAATTTTGATTGTGGTGTTCTGATGTGGGTTGTGTTTCTGTGTTGTTGCCTATAGTGTTTGTGTGCAGGGCGCTGGTGTTTGCGTTTGGTGAATGTGTTGTAGCGGATGTTGTGTTTGCAGAAGTTGTTGTGTTGGTGTAATCTGTGAAGACAACTGGGTGCAATGGGTAGGACTGCGGGTGTGTGGGTGCAGTGCTGTTGGTTGTGGTGTGAGAACTGATTGTAGTGTTGCTGTGAAAGTTAGTGGGATTGGTGGGTGTAAATGTGTCAGTGTGAAATGATGCCAGAGTGGATGTATGTATCGGATTTGTGTCAGTTCGTATGTGTGTGTAAGTGTTGTTGTGCGTGATAGAGTGAGGATGGATGTGTATTGGTGTGTCTGTGGAGGAGTATGTGTGTGTGGTAGTGTCGGATGTTGAGATTGTGAGAGGTGTTGAGGTGGTGTTGAGTATGTGCATTTGGTCGTAGTCGGTGTGCAGTGGGGAGTGTGTGGGTGTTGACGATGTGGTCGCGTCTGTGTAGTTGTATTGTGCCTGTGTGTGCATCTCGTCGGTGTCGGCGTTGGCGCGTGTGTTGGTGTTGGTGTAGGAGTGTGGTGCGTATGTTTGTATTCGCAGTGTTTGTGCCTGATTGTCGGTGGTGTGTGTAGTTGCGTTGGTGAGTTTGGTGTAATCGTGCTGGTGGGTTTGATGTAGTGTGTGAGGTGTTGGTGTGGATGCAGTAGGAGTTGTGTTGATGTTTGCGATGTCGGTTGTATTAGTGTTGTTGCTGAAGCTATCGGTGTGGGTGGTTTTATGGGTATTGGCGTGCGCATGGGCAGTGGTACCGGTGGTGTAGGTGTAAGTGTTGACGGTGGTGTTTGTGTTGATGGTCGCGTCGGCGTTTTCGATGCTGGTTTGGTTCGGGTGGTGGAATAATGTGGTAATTGTGGTGGCATTAGTAGTGTCAGTATGTTGTGTGTTAGTGTGGATGCTAACGTGTTTGGTAGACGTGGTGGTTAGCGTGTCAGTAGGTGTGTATGTGTGATTAGATGTGGGCGTGTATGTTCTATTGTTAGTAGGTGTGTGTGCGGTGGTGTCAGTTTGGTGGTGAGTGGGTGTGTATGTATGCGTGGAGGTTGGTTTATGCATGGGTTTTTGTGTGTTGTAGTATGTTGGTGAAGTCTGTTTGTATGTGGTGTGTATCATGTGTGTGTTGGTAGTAATGGTTGGTGTTTGGTGTGATGTGGTGTTGTGCAGTGGACTGTGTGAGTGTGTAAGTGTCGTAGTATGAGTGGGTGTTGGTGTGGGTGTGTATGTAGGTGTGGATTTTGCTGTGTCTGAGGTGTGCGTTGCGTGCAGATGTGTACTAGACATGCTGTGGGTTTGTTCGTAAGTTGTGTGGGCTGTGTTTTGTGGCGTTTCGTGTGTTGTATTGTCTGTTGCGACGGCCTTGGTTGTGTTATTGCCGGTGGTGGATGCTGTGATGTAGTGATCAGGCTGGGTGGAAGTTTGATTGTGGTGTTCTGATGTGGGTTGTGTTTCTGTGTTGTTGCCTATAGTGTTTGTGTGCAGGGCGCTGTTGTTTGCGTTTGGTGAATGTGTTGTAGCGGATGTTGTGTTTGCAGAAGTTGTTGTGTTGGTGTAATCTGTGAAGACAACTGGGTGCAATGGGTAGGACTGCGGGTGTGTGGGTGCAGTGCTGTTGGTTGTGGTGTGAGGACTGATTGTAGTGTTGCTGTGAAAGTTAATGGGATTGGTGGGTGTAAATGTGTCAGTGTGAAATGATGCCAGAGTGGATGTATGTATCGGATTTGTGTCAGTTCGTATGTGTGTGTAAGTGTTGTTGTGCGTGATAGAGTGAGGATGGATGTGTATTGGTGTGTCTGTGGAGGAGTATGCGTGTGTGGTAGTGTCGGATGTTGAAATTGTGAGAGGTGTTGAGGTGGTGTTGAGTATGTGCATTTGGTCGTAGTCGGTGTGCAGTGGGGAGTGTGTGGGTGTTGATGATGTGGTCGCGTCTGTGTAGTTGTATTGTGCCTGTGTGTGCATCTCGTCGGTGTCGGCGTTGGCGCGTGTGTTGGTGTTGGTGTAGGAGTGTGGTGCGTATGTTTGTATTCGCAGTGTTTGTGCCTGATTGTCGGTGGTGTGTGTAGTTGCGTTGGTGAGTTTGGTGTAATTGTGCTGGTGGGTTTGATGTAGTGTGTGAGGTGTTGGTGTGGATGCAGTAGGAGTTGTGTTGATGTTTGCGATGTCGGTTGTATTAGTGTTGTTGATGAAGCTATCGGTGTGGGTGGTTTTATGGGTATTGGCGTGCGCATGGGCAGTGGTACCGGTGGTGTAGGTGTAAGCGTTGACGGTGGTGTTTGTGTTGATGGTCGCGTCGGCGTTTTCGATGCTGGTTTGGTTCGGGTGGTGAAATAGTGTGGTAATTGTGGTGGCATTAGTAGTGTCAGTATGTTGTGTGTTAGTGTGGATGCTAACGTGTTTGGTAGACGTGGTGGTTAGCGTGTCAGTAGGTGTGTATGTGTGATTAGATGTGTGCGTGTATGTTCTATTGTTAGTGGGTGTGTGTGCGGTGGTGTCAGTTTGGTGGTGAGTGGGTGTGTATGTAGGCGTGGAGGTTGGTTTATGCATGGGCTTTTGCGTGTTGTAGTATGTTGGTGAAGTCTGTTTGTATGTGGTGTGTATCATGTGTGTGTTGGTAGTAATGGTTGGTGTTTGGTGTGATGTGGTGTTGTGCGGTGGACTGTGTGAGTGTGTACGTGTCGTAGTATGAGTGGGTGTTGGTGTGGGTGTGTATGTAGGTGTGGATTTTGCTGTGTCTGAGGTGTGCGTTGCGTGCAGATGTGTGCTAGACATGCTATGGGTTTGTTCGTAAGTTGTGTGAGCTGTGTAGTGTAGCGTTTCGTGTGTTGTATTGTCTGTTGCGACGGCCTTGGTTGTGTTATTGCCGGTGGTGGATGCTGTGATGTAGTGATCAGGCTGGGTGGAATTTGGATTCTGGTGTTCGCGCGGTGTTTGTGCTTCATTTAGTATTGTTTTGATGCATAGAATGAGGAATATATGTATTATCTTCATTCTGACTTCCTGGTATCTGTAAAAGAAATTTGGCATGTTTAGCGTTTGGTTTTTACTATAGGCTTCAATAGTGTTAGTGCTTCGTTAGTCTGTTTGTTGCTTCTGTTTGATGTGCCTTTCGTCTACTCCACACTTGCTATTACCACTCTGCATACCGTTCTATTGTATGATTTTAGGGCACCTATTTAATTCATCGTGGGCCAATCACATGCAGGGTTTTCCAGCAGACGATAGTCAGGTTAATATATTTTAATACTATTGAATGCCATATTCTCTGCTGACTTGTATTAATCGACTGCACAATTCGCTTAGCATAGTGAGATTTAAACAGTCATTTCAAGCTGTCAGCATGGGAAGCATTCCCAGGTTGATGTTGAACTTTTAGAAACTGAGGTGAGGTTAGGTGAGTTTGAGATAATGATTTTTCACTTTTAACAATATTAACAGACATCATTAACAGCGCACCTTAAGTCAGTGGTGTTGATGGCGGCCCCGAACCAGAGGCATTCCTGCGTCTAAAAATACCGAGCGTTGTAGGCATGCGTTGCCACCATGCAACTGCAGAAGAGAAGCGTTTTGACTCCGGTAGCGGCACCGCAAACTGTTAAGCCAACAGCAGTTAAAACCCCTCTAAAGGACCGTCATCGGAAGAAAGTACAGGACCTTAACTGTTGTATTCAACATATTCCGAAAATACAGTATAATAGTATAGACGAGGCTGATGTGCGACCACAACAAGGGGAGTTCCTGATGTAGTGTAGTTAACATTTGGGTTAGGCCTACGAAGCTGAGACCTGTCACACATCGCCGAAATTTAATGCATTATGACAAAGTTCGACCTCTTGGGACGACAGTGAGTTTGTCTAACGACACAAAGGACCTGCTGTCACACGTTCCGATGTGCAGCTCATCACATAAACTGCGCATATTTTCGGACATGCCTTGTAATGCGTGTCCTCAACGGTGGGCGCGACCTAAATTCTTGACTTAACATCCATCAATCCTCTTTTGGTTACCGAAAAACTGTCCTTTATATACAACACATACGGCGCTGTTCATAAGCTGGTGGAACTTCAGAGCCTCGAGATTTGGTGCGAATGGCTGCAACGTATTTGAGTTGTGAGATTGCGTACTTTGGGATCACCCCATCCTTTGTATCGCCTCTCTAGAACGATGAGATAAATAGGGGAAGACGTGTGATCATTTATTACGTAACAAAGCTTCGATGTGAGTTCATAGACGATCAACAACTGCGTGTCAATGATTTCCTTTGGTTCATGATATGGCTAAAAGATGAAGACACCTTTCTTGTGTCACTAGTTTGTCAACCTCCTAAATCTAGTTCTGAAATGAACCACAGAATAATGTTCGCTTTCCTAATTGTGATGAATCGAAAATACAGCTTCATTACAGGTTTCAACATCCATGATCTGGGAGCCTTAGCACCCGATAGCCAACAGTTCAGTCTATTTAGTAAACCCTTACACAGTCACGGTTCTCACCAGGTTCAGAACAGAGAATAAGCCATTGATGATAGACATATTGCTCACCCTTAATGAGCTGACTACGTGCATTACTTTGGGTCGAAGCAGCCATGTGACTACTGTCCGATTACACTTGCTGTTCATGTGTAGAAGGATTTCATGAGATCCATTTGAGTAACCGTAACTAGATTGTAAGCCAGACGGGTTTACTACCAATTGGTAAAATTATCAGACAGTCGTCTCATCCTCTTTGTCATCGTCAGTGGTGTACACGCCCTTGATCTCCTTCAGGGAACCGAACCTTTGACCTTTAAGGTCATATGCCATTTCTCGGCGGCTAATGCTGAGGCTATTAACCCGAACGCATAGCCTGAACGTATACATTATATTACACTGCGACGCACTGTCCACACTCGTCGGAGAAGCGAGCTAGACAATCATGACTGACTACACCTTGGGAACATTCTTATCAAGTCCACCTCACTGGTCGCGAAACTTTCGGCATCGAATGCTTTTTGCCGTTTCCTTAAGCCGAAGTTATTTTTGGAAGCGGAACAGGAAAGCAAATGGCCTAATGGATTTGACATAATGGGTTCACAATGGTTTTCAATTCCCGGAAAATTGGAATGCGTAGGTAGCTCAACACAACTACATTATGCAGTTGGTTCGCGTGTACAAGCTAACAGACCAACAAAAGCTAGGAAAATGGATCTTTTGAAGTTTGCTAAGTAACACGTCAATAGCCATCATGAAGCACAGTGCTGAATCCCGCCACTCGCTACTGTTAGTGAGTATACAAGTGAGTATGCGAGATAAGCGGACAACGCCTTATATTCATCTACCTTCCAGCGGATATCATATTCAAGCATTTTCCTGTTTCTATTGATCTGCCATCAGGTTAACGCAGCGTCACTCACTGCAAATGTGGTGCTACAGAAGCTGCGATCCCTGCACACACGCAGCTCTCCTAGAGCGGGTGACTTGCCCTAAAGCTGCAGGTAGCAGCCATACACCTAGCCGAACCGCTCGCTGGATTATTTCAGCAATATCTATACTAAAACATTGTTCCTTCAAAGTGTAAGCATGATATCATCGCCCTGTTTTTATAGGGGTGGAAGTCGGCTTGAGCATGTTAATTACTGCCCGGTAACACTTTTACCTATGGTTGTCAGAATCATGGAGGTGGTCAACATTAATGGACGGCCTATAAAGCTTTGGTGTACTCTCATCGGGGTAGGATGATTTTCGTGCGTCACCCCTAGAGCAAAGTTTACTCATCAAGGCTTTGTTGTAAACAACAAGAGGACAACTAGCATTCCAATGGTCCAACGTCGCCTATGTTGTGCAGACAACTGCAGTAAAGTGCTTAAGATCAGTGTTGTGTATTCTGTCAGCATTCTTGACCTAGTCTAAACAGACAGGTGCACACAAACCCAGACACACACACACACACAGAGCGTCCAATTCTCTGCTTCCCTATTGGTTCATCATTCTCCTTGTAACACTTTAATGTACTCACCCAGTTAGACATTGAACAGATTACAGCAGTCCGTTTCCGAGAGTGACCCTTTCGTATACAACACTGGCGTCGCGTTGGTGGTCGCGTCGGCGTTTTCAATGCTGGTTTGGTTCGGGTGATGGAATAGTGTGGTAATTGTGGTGGCATTAGTAGTGTCAGTATGTTGTGTGTTAGTGGAGATGCTAATGTGTTGTTTGGTAGACGTCGTGATTAGCGTGTCAGTATGTGTGTATGTGTGATTAGATGTGGGCGTGTATGTTCTATTGTTGGTGTGTGTGTGTGCGGTGGTGTCAGTTTGGTGGTGAGTGGATGTTGGTGTTTGAGTGATATTTTGTGTGCTGTAGTATGTTGGTGAAGTATGTTTGTATGTGGAGTGTATCATGTGGGTGTTGGTAATAATGGTTTGTGTTTGGTGTAATGTGGTGTTGTGCAGTGGACTGTGTGAGTGTGTAAGTGTCGTTGTATGAGTGGGTGTTGATGTGGGTGTGTATGTAGGCGTAGAGTTTGATGTGTCCGAGGTGTGTGTCGCGTGCATGTGTGTGCTAGACATGCTATGGGTTTGTTCGTAAGTTGTGTGGGCTGTGTTGTGTGGCGTTTCGTCTGTTGTATTGTCTGTTGCGATGGTCTTGGTTGTGTTATTGCCGGTGGTGGATGCTGTGATGTAGTGATCGGGCTGGGTGGAAGTTTGATTGTGGTGTTCTGATGTGGGTTGTGTTTCTGTGTTGTTGATTGTAGTGTTTGTTTGCAGGGCGCTGGTGTTTGTGTTTGGTGCATGTGTTATACCGGATGTTGCGTTTGCAGAAATTGTGGTGTTCGTTGTGGTTGTGTAATCCGTGAAAATTACTGGGTGTGATGGGTAGGACTTCGGATGTGTGGGTGCAGTGCCGTTGGTTGTGTTATACGAACTGATTGTAGTGTTGTCGTGAAAGTTAGTGGTATTGTTGGGTGTAAATGTGTCAGTGTGAAATGATGCCAGAGTGGATGTATGTATGGGAATTGTGTCAGTTCGTTTGTGTGTGTAAGTGTTGTTGTGCGTGCTAAAGTGAGGATAGATGTGTATTGGTGTGTCTGTGGAGGCGTATGTGTGTGTGGTCGTGTCGGATGTTGAAATGGTGATAGGTGTTGCGGTGGTGTTGAGTATGTGCATTTGGTCGTAATCGGTGTGCAGTGGGGAGTGTGTGGGTGTTGGTGATGTGGTCGCGTCTGTGTAGTTGTATTGTGCCTGTGTGTGCGTCTCGTCGGTGTCGGTGTCGGCGTTGGCGCGGGTGTTGGTGTGGGAGTGTGGTGCGTATGTTTGTATTCGCAGTGTTTGTGCCTGATTGTCGGTGGTGTGTGTAGTTGCGTTGGTGAGTTTGGTGTAATCGTGCTGGTGGGTTTGATGTAGTGTGTGCGGTGTTGGTGTGGATGTAGTTGGAGTTGTGTTGATGTTTGCGATGTCGGTTGGATTAGTGTTGTTGACGAAGCTATCGGTGTGGGTGGTTGTATGGGTGTTCGCGTGCGCATGGGCAGTGGTACCGGTGGTGTAGGTGTAAGTGTTGACGGTGGTGTTTGTGTTGGTGGTCGTGTCGGCGTTTTCGATGCTGGTTTGGTTCGGGTGATGGAATAGTGTGGTAATTGTGGTGGCATTAGTAGTGTCAGTATGTTGTGTGTTAGTGGAGATGCTAATGTGTTGTTTGGTCGACGTCGTGATGAGCGTGTCAGTATGTGTGTATGTGTGATTAGATGTGGGCGTGTATGTTCTATTGTTGGTGGGTGTGTGTGTGGTGGTGTCAGTTTGGAGGTGAGTGGGTGCGTATGTAGGAGTGGATGTTGGTGTTTGAGTGATATTATGTGTGCTGTAGTATGTTGGTGAAGTATGTTTGTATGTGGAGTGTTTCGTGTGGGTGTTGGTAATAATGGTTTGTGTTTGGTGTAATGTGGTGTTGTGCAGTGGACTGTGTGAGTGTGTACGTGTCGTTGTATGAGTGGGTGTTGATGTGGGTGTGTATGTAGGCGTAGAGTTTGATGTGTCCGAGGTGTGTGTTGCGTGCATGTGTGTGCTAGACATGCTATGGGTTTGTTCGTAAGTTGTGTGGGCTGTGTTGTGTGGCGTTTCGTCTGTTGTATTGTCTGTTGCGATGGTCTTGGTTGTGTTATTGCCGGTGGTGGATGCTGTGATGTAGTGATCGGGCTGGGTGGAAGTTTGATTTTGGTGTTCGCTTTTTGTTTGTCCTTCATTTAATATTGTTTTGATGCATAGAATTAGGAATATCTGTATTGGCTTCATTCTGTTGTCTTGGTATCTGTAAAAGCGATTTGGCCTTTTTAGCGTTTTGTCTCTTCTATAGGCTTCAATCGTGACATTGCTTCGTTATTTTTGGTTTGCCTCTTTTTAATGTGCGTTTCGTCTACTCCACACTTTCTATAACCACACTTCATACCGTTCTATTGTGTTATTGTAGGCCACCTATTGTATTCAGCGTGGGCCGATAACATGCAGTTTCTTCCAGCAGACGATGGTCAGGTTAAGATATTTTAATACTATTGAATGCCATATCCTCTGCTGACTTATATTAATCGACTACACAGTTCGCTTAGCATAGTGAGATTTAAACAGTCATTTCAAGCTGTCAGCATGGGAAGCATTCCCAGGTTGATGCTGAACTTTTAGAAACTGAGGTGAGGTTAGGTGAGTTTGAGATAATGATTTTTCACTTTTAACAATATTAACAGACATCGTTAACAGCGCACCTTAAGTCAGTGGTGTTGATGGCGGCCTCGAACCAGAGGCAGTCTAGCGTCTATAAATACCGCGCATTGTAGGCATGTGTTGCCACAATGCAAATGCCGAAGAGAAGCGTTTTTGACTCCGGTAGCGGCACCACAAACTGTTAAAACCAACAACAGTTAAAACCCCTCAAAACGACTGTCATCGGAAGAAAATACGGGACCTTAAGTGTTGTAATCAAAATATTCCGAAAACACAGTCTAATAGTATAAACGAGGCTGATGTGCGACGACAACAAGTCGAGTACCAGATGTGGTGTATTTGGCATTTGGATTAGGCCTACGAAGCCGAGACCTGTCACACGTCGCCACAGTTTAATGCATTATGGCAAACCACGATCTCTTTGGACGACAGTGAGTTCCTCTGACGACACAAATAGCCTTCTGCTGTCGCACGTTCCGATGTGCAGCTCATCACATAAACTGCGCATATGTTCGGACATGCCTTGTAATGCGTGTCCAAAAAGGGAGAGCAACCATGAGTAAGTTCGTCAATCTGACGACAGTTACGATGCTTCAAAACTTCTCTATGAGAAGGCACATGACTAGGAGCAGTGGTACTACGTTCGCTAAATAAGCTTCGAAATATCACTATTGGTTGCAAGAACTCCGGTTTTATGCAGCTACAAGCAATGTGATCTTTGGCTACTGCAGGTGCTACTTCAGGCTGAACTGTTGGTATTGGTCGTATTAAAAACTGGTTTAAGTCTCGCAAGAGACTGTCTATGGAAAGTCGATTAAGTAAGCGACAGCAATGCGCTCACTGAAGGATTCGCTGGGGCGTGCCAAATCAGTGAATCTTCACTTCATGCTGTTCTGTGAATGAATTGACCTAGTTGATACGGTCACGTATGGCAGTGTAACCCCATCGAATCGCACAGGTCATTGGCTCACGAAAAGTTGGCCAGTGGCCGATACCTCAACGGTGGGCACGACCTAAATTCTTGACTCAACATTCACCAATTCTCTCTTGGTTACCGAAAAACTGTGCTTTATATACAACACACACGGCGTTGTTCATAAGCGGGTGGAACTTCAGAGCCTCGATATTTGGTGCGAATATTTGCAACGTATTTAAGTTGTGAGATTGCGTACTTTGGGATCACCTCATCCTTTGTGTCGCTTCTCTAGAACGATGAGATAAATAGGGGAAGACGTGTGATCATTTATTACGTAACAAAGCTTCGACGTGAGTTCATAGACGATCAATAACTGCGTGTCAATGATTTCCTTTGGTGCATGATATGTCTAAAAGATGAAGACACATTGCTTGTGTCGCTAGTTTGTCAACATCCTAAATCTACTTCTGAAATGAACCACAGAATAATGTTGGCTTTCCTTATTGTGATGAATCGAAAATACAGTTTCATTACAGATTTCAGCATCCATGATCTGGGAGCCTTAGCAGCCGATAGCGAACAGTTCAGTCTATTTAGTAAACCCTTACACAGTCACGGTTCTCACCAGGTTCAGAACAGCGAATAAGCCATCGATGATAGACATATTGCTCACCTACGATGAGCTCATGACTAATGAGCTGACTACGTGCATTACCTTGGGTCGAAGCACTCATGTGACTACTGTCCGATTGCACTTGCTGTTCATGTGTAGAAGGATTTCATGAGATCCATTTGAGTAACCGTAACTAGATGATAAGCCAGGCGGGTTTACTACCAATTCGTAAAATTATCAGACAGTCGTCTTGTCCTCTTTGTCGTCGTCAGTGGTGTACACACCCTTGATCTCCTTCAGGGAACCGAACCTTTGACCATTTAAGTCATGTGCCATTTATCGGCGGCTAATGTTGAGGCAATTAACCAGAACGCATATTTTGAATGCATACATTATATTACACTGCGTCGAAGAAGCGAGCTGGAAATTCGCTCCAATGTTCGAAAGCAGCAAGTGCGGTGAACTTGAACTTGCGACTTTTGAGGCGAGCTCTCTTCACTTTTGAGCGGCGGCTAGTTCCATTGTTGATTAACTCCTACATTCGTCCTCATGTTGAATATGCAATTCAGGCCCGGTGTCCATGGTTAAAACGAGACATCCGCCTCTTGGAACAGCCCCAAAGAACAGCCACAAAGGCAACGCATGGACTATCCGGTACAAGTTACGGAATGCATCTTCGTGTACTCGGTGTGTTTTCATTAGAATACCGATGGCTTCGCGGAGATCACATACCGGATACTAACCTAAAGCCAGCATCCATGTACATCACTATTGACTCTAGCCCCATACAAACAAAACCGAGGCAACCATCTGAAACTAATGACGCAACACTCTCGTTTGAATTGTAGAAAGTATTTTTTCTCACTTAGAATCTGTTCTCACTGGAATGCATTACCAAACTATGTGGTGAACGCACCAGACATGACGACAATCGAAAGACTCTTAGATTTTCATCTTAGTGATAAACGATACACAACACTTTGCTAAAGTGCAATGATGTAACCGCTGATACTTTACGTTCCACGTTGGAACATTTTGATTTTAATTTTCTTTTGCATATCCATCCTGTGGGTCTTGTAAAGTTATGCTTTTTATCCCATCATACACCATTGAACCGTTGAACCATTGGACAGTCATGACTGACTACACCTTGGGAACATTCTTATCAAGTTCACCTCACTGGTCGCGAAAACTTCGGCATCGAATGCTTTTTGCCATTTCCTTAAGCCGAAGTTATTTTTGGAAGCAGAACAGGAAAGTATATGGCCTAATGGATTTGACATAATGGGTTTACAATGGTTTTCAATTCCCAGAAAAGTGGAATGCGTAGGTAGCTCAACACAACTACATTATGCAGTTGGTTCGCGTGTACAAGCTGACAGACCAACAAAAGCTAGGAAAAGGAACCTTTTAATGTTTCCTAAGAAACACGTCAATAGCCATCACGAAGCGCAGTGCTGAATCCCGCCGCACGTTACGGTTAGTGGTTATACAAGTGAGTATAAGAGAAAAGCGGACAACGCCTTATATTCATCTACCTTCCAGTGTAGGGCTGACTTGCCGAACAACCTCCTCGTGGTGCCATCTGGGTGGTTCGGGATTTTACCGTTCCAGCAAATGGTTCGGCGACAGTGTTCCAGGACGTGGTGGGTTTTCGCCTGGCAAGCGTTTTCCCAATAAAAAAACCACATATGTCCGTTTAACAACACTGTGACGTGGCGGACGTGACTCGTCACTAAATAAAGTCACTGCCCCTTGCTTCATCCTGGCGAAGCATTGTATTCCAGCAACTTTGCTGTAATTCTGGGGAGCATTGGGCCCCTGTTTGACAAAGGAACAAACGAAAGGCGTATGAACTGAGCAATCAGTCACCGGCTCCCAATGGGCGCGATTCGCTGAATTCGCTCCGCTGCCTCGCGGGCAGGCTATTCAGCCAAAGTCTAGGGGTGGTGTCCCCTAAGTCAACACCCTACTTCGGCTTGGGCAACCGGGTAGTACCTCGCCCTCTGACGAGACCATGGACGTTAATGCGTTGTGTTGTGTTTTCTTTTATAATTTCTGTACCTTCTTTTGTGTTCCATGGTTTCTGATGGCTCTATGTCTATTCATAGATGGTTGCATATATATATATATATATATATATATATATATATATATATATATATATATATATATATATATATATATATGCCTTCAAGCGTATACCTGATTCAAGAGCTTTTCCTGTTTCTATTGATCTGCCATCTGGTTAACGCAGCGTCACTTTCACTGCAAAGATGGTGCTACAGAAGCTGCGATCCCTGCGCACACTCAGCTCTCCTAGAGCGGGTGACTTGCCCTAAAGCTGCAGGTAGCAGCCATACACCTAGCCGAACCGCTTGATGGATTATTCCAGCAATATCTATACTAAAACATTGTTCCGTCAAAGTGTAAGCATGATATCATCGCCCTGTTTTTATAGGGGAGGAAGTCGGCTTGAGCATGTTAATTACTGCCCGGTAACACTTTTACCTATGCTTGTCAGAATCATGGAGGTGGTCAACATTAATGGACGGCCTATAAAGCTATGGTGTCATCGCATCGGGGTAGGATGATTTTCACCAACATCAATCATATACTAGAACCTGTTCATTGCGCGCGACAACTGGACTGAAGCAGTCGTTGAGGGGACAGGAAGCGGTGTCATTTACTCGGATTTTTCAAAACGTTCGATCGTTTTGATCATCGTATCCTACTTCACAAACTTCAGCACAATGGCATTGGAGATCCAGCAATAGGATAAAATTGTCACCTTCTCTACAAACGTCAGCTGGAGGTTAGATTCCGAATACCTTTACCGTACCCGATACGAGTGGAGTGCGGCATACAGCAGTGTTCTATACTTAGGCCTTGTATTAGTCTTCATTAACGATCTAGCAAAACTTATCACCTCAAACTGTTCACTCTTTGCTGCCGATTTTAAAATTCGGCGGGTGATCAATGAATTAGACAGCCACGAGGACCTGCAGCGCGACCTCGATGTGGCCTGGAATTGGTCAGTGGGGAGCG